CAAAAAGAAGACTGGGAGCTGACTGTGGCTCAGATCATGAACCCCTTACTGCCAAATTCAGACTTAAATTGAAGAAAATAGGGAAAACCACTAGACCATTCAGGTATGACCTAAATCAAATCCCTAACGATTATACAATGGAAGTGAGAAATAGATTTAAGGGACTAGATCTGATAGACAGAGTGCCTGATGAACTATGGACAGAGGTTTGTGACATTGTACGGGAGACAGGGATCAAGACCATCCCCAAGAAAAAGAAATGCAAAAAGGCAAACTGGCTGTCTGAGGAGGCCTTACAAATAGCTATGAAAGGAAGAGAAGCGAAAAGCAAATGAGAAAAGGAAAGATATACCCATCTGAATGCAGAGTTCCAAAGAACAGCCAGGAGAGGTAAAAAAGTCTTCCTCAGCGATCAGTGCAAAGAAATAGAGGAAAACAATACAATGGGAAAGACTAGAGATCTCTTCAAGAAAATTAGAGATACCAAGGGAACATTTCATGCAAAGATGGGCCCATTTAGGGACAGAAATGGTATGGACCTAACAGAAGCAGAAAATATTAAAAAGAGGTGGCAAGAATACACAGAACTGTACAAAAAAGATCTTCATGACCCAGATAATCACGATGGTGTGATCACTCGCCTAGAGCCAGACATCCTGGAATGTGAAGTCAAGTGGGCCTTATAGGAAGCATCACTACGAACAAAGCTAGTGGAAGTGATGGAATTCCAGTTGAGCTATTTCAAATCCTGAAACATGATGCTGTGAAAGTGCTGCGCTCAATCTGTCAGCAAATTTGGAAAACTCAGCAGTGGCCACAGGACTGGAAAAGGTCAGTTTTCATTCCAGTCCCAAAGAAAGGCAATGCCAAAGGATGTTGAAACTACTGCACAATTGCACTCATCTCACATGCTGGTAAAGTAATGCTAAACATTCTCCAAGCCAGGCTTCAGCAATACATGAACTGTGAACTTCCAGGTGTTAAAGCTTGTTTTAGAAAAGGCAGAGGAACCAGAGACCAAATTGCCAACATCTACTGGATCATCGAAAAAGTAAGAGAGTTCCAGAAAAACATCTATTTCTTCTTTATTGACTATGCCAAAGCGTTTGATCACAACAGACTGTGGAAAATTCTTCAGGAGTGGGAATACCAGACCACCTGACCTGCCTCTTGAGAAACCTATATGCAGATCAGGAAGCAACAGTTAGAACTGGACATGGAACAGCAGACTGGTTCCAAATAGGAAAAGGAGTACATCAAGGCTGTATATTGTCACCCTGCTTATTTAACTTATATGCAGTGTACATCATGAGAAACACTGGGCTGGAGGAAGCACAAGCTGGAATCAAGATTGCCAGGAGAAATATCAATAACCTCAGATATGCAGATGACACCGCCTTAATGTCAGAAAATGAAGAAAAACTAAAGAGCCTTTTGATGAAAGTGAAAGAGGAGAGTGAAAAAGTTGGCTTAAAACTCAACATTCAGAAAACTAAGATCATGGCATCCGGTCCCATCACTTCATGGAAAATAGATGGGGAAACAGTGGAAACAGTGGCTAACTTTATTTTTCGGGGCTCCAAAATCACTGCAGATAGTGATTGCAGCCATGAAATTAAAAGACACTTACTTCTTGGAAGGAAAGTTATGACCAACCTAGACAGCATATTAAAAAGCAGAGACATTACTTTGCCAACAAAGGTCCATCTAGTCAAGGCTATGGTTTTTCCAGTGGTCATGTATGGATATGAGAGTTGGACTCTAAAGAAAGCTGAGTGCCAAGAATTGATGCTTTTGAACTGTGGTGTTGGAGAAGACTTTTGAGAGTCCCTTGGACTACACGAAGATCCAGTCAGTCCATCCTAAAAGAGATCAGTCCTGGGTGTTCATTGGAAGGACTGATGGTAAAGCTGAAACTCCAATATTTTGGCCACCTGATATGAAGAGCTGACTCATTGGAAAAGACGCTGATGCCGGGAAAGATTGAGGGCAGGAAGAGAAGGGGACGACAGAGCATGAGATGGTTGGATGGCATCACTGACTCAATGGAGTTTGGGTGGACTCCAGGAGTTGGTGACAGACAGGGAGGCCTGGTGTGCTGCGGCTCATGGGGTTGCAAAGAGTTGGACACGACTGAGCGACTGAACTGAAAAGCCGTGGAACTTTTTTTTTTTTCTAACTATAATTTTACACAAAACTTTGAGGTATAAAAGGGATAGATTGGATTTTTTGTGGGGGGAGGAAGTCTAGAGCCCAGGTTCATATTCATGAAGCATCTTTGCAGATGGACCCCTGGTGAGGCTGAAGGGTATGGGCAGGAAGAGGAAAGGCTCTGAAGTGAGGCTGCCTGCGTTTGAGTCCACCTCTGCAGTTAGCCACTGTGTGACAATGAAGACGCTACTTAACCTCTCTGAACTTGAGTTGAATCATCCACTAAATGGGGGTAATCACACTGTGTGCTTTAAAAGTTTGTTAGGATTAAATGAAATGATACATGCTAAATACACAGGCCTTAAGCCTGGTATATACTATGTTGTTGTTTAGTTGCTTAAATTGTGTGTGACTCTTGCAACCCCATGAACTGTAGCCCACCAGGAAATCTGAGGTGTTTTGCAAATAGCACTAAACTGCTTTCTTCTATAAATATGTGAGAGAAATAGTTGTGCCTCTTATGCGACTCGAATACAAAACTAAAACACAGGCACACTTACAGAAGTGCTCAGGCTTGAATAAGGAAAAAAGTGCAGAGCAGATAGCAGATTGGAAAGGGCAGAGCCGCGAGGGGCTGGCGTGTTTGGCACATGTGCACTTTGGTCTTGGAAATGGACTAGGACTGGAATGGACAGGAATGAGGAGGGGTGTTGGTCGGTCACCGTGACCTGGGAGAGCCGAGCGGCTCCCAGAAAGGGCTGGCAAGGACAGTTCCCAGTGGAGCTGGACAGCTGACCGGGTGAGGTGATGGAACACCTTGAAGCCAAATAGAGGAGTTCCGTGAAAGTTGCTCAGTCGTGTCCTACTCTTTGCGACTCCATGGACTGCACAGTCCATGGAATTCTCCAGGCCAGAATATTGGAGTGGGTAACCATTCCTTCTCCAGGGGATCTTCCCAACTCAGGGATCCAACCCAGGTCTGCCACATTGCAGGCAGATTGTTTACCAGCTGAGCTACTAGGGACGCCCAAGGAGGAGTTTAGAGTCAGTGCAAATTGTGAGCCGTTGTATATTTTTGAGCAAGGAAGTGTGAGGAATCAGGAACCTGCCTCTGTTGGGTGGATCAGAGGGTCGCTGGTGGTGTGGGAGTCCTCCTTGAGTCATCCAGTGTTCTGGGCACGACCCACACGGGCCTCGGTAGGGGCAGTGGTTATCAACACGCAGGGAGCGAGATGCATCTAGAAGACATTTGGAGGGAAACCTGCCAAAGTTTGTGACAGGTGCCCCCTAGACAAAGTAACAGAGCCCCAAAGCCATGAGCAAGTGGTAGAAAGTTATCATCACATTGTGGCACTGTTATTTTGATGCTTGTAAAACTGGTTCCAAAAACGCTGATCCAATTGAATTGTACTGAACTGATTTTGTTTATTCCACAGATATGTAGTCATTCATTCCCACTGGGTGTTAGGCAGATACAACTGTGCATGTATGACATACTTCCTCCTCGGGGAGCTGGAGACGGGTCCATGGGCATTTAGGAGAGAGCCTGGTGAGACGGCGACCTGGAACAAACAGGATGCCACGGGAGCTTTGGAGAGGGGCCCCCTTGCTGACCCGGGGCAAGGGTGGGAGCCGAGGCGTGATGATGATGTCCGGTGGGGCCGTGGAGCGGGGTGGACCGTCAGAGCCAGAGGCGGTCCAGAAGGATGCTCAGAGAGCTCACAGTGAGGAAGTGCGGGGCTCCTCCAGGAGACCAGAGCCTCTCAGGAGGGCTGGAGACCAGGGAATGAGACTGAGGAGCGAGAGAAGCAGCAGGAGAGAGAAGCGCAGGAAGGGCTTTGTGAGTTACCCTGTGGACTGTGGACCTTATTCTGAAGGAGAGTCATTCAGAGATTTTAAATGGTCAGCTGCAGGTGGTGCCTAGGGGTTAGTCAGTTAAATATTTTTATGTTTATTTTTTGGTAGATGTGGTGTGGTTTGACGTTTTAAAAATACCTACATTTATTGATTTATTTGGCTGCTCCAGGTCTTAGTTGGAGACCTTTGAACTTCTTTGAGACATTCTAACCCTTAGTTGTGGCATGTGGGATCTAGTTCCTTGACCAGGGATTGAACCCGAGCACCCTGCATTGGAAGCATGGAGCCGTAGACACTGGACCACCAGGAAAGTCCCGGCAGTTTGGTTTTAGACACATGGAAAGTGAAAGTGTTAGTTGCTCAGATGTGTCCCACTATTTGCAGTCCCACAGACTGTAGCCTGCCAGTCTCCTCTGTCTGTGAGATTTCCCAGGCAAGAATCCTGGAGTGAGTTGCCATTTCCTTCTCCAGGGGATCTTCCTGACCCAGGGATGGAACCTGGGTCTCCTGTATTGCAGGCAGATTCTTTACCATCTGAGCCCCCAGGGAAGCCCCTAGGCATACTCAGGGAATTTTCCAGGTACTGATGTGTCAGCAGTTTCTTTTTTCCCATAAACTATAGTCTGGGCAGCAGGGCACGTTTCCCCTCACAGTATCAGGGACTCCTTTCCATCCCTCACTGGGCGCCAGCCCTTCAGGATCCCCCTTCTTGCACATCTCTCCTGGATCCCTTCGCTGTTTGTTATGGCTGTTCTGGTTCTGTTCCCTCTTCCGTCTGGGAGAGCCCTCGGTGGGGGCATTTGGGAGCTCAGTTGGGGGGGTGGTCACATTTTGGAGGTGGGTCCAGGCTGGCTCTGGGGACATGGGTTATCCCTGACTTGAGATCGTCACAGGTGTTCAGCCCCTTCCCCCAGGGCCCACCTGCACGATTTTAGCCAGGACGCCTTTTCCTAACACAGTGTCACTCGGTAACTGCCTCGCCTTTCTTTCAGCGGGTGCCAAAGCCTTTGTCTGCGATCAGTGTGGAGCCCAGTTCTCGAAGGAGGAAGCCCTGGAGACACACAGGCAGACCCATACTGGTGAGTGAGTGACCCCATCCTCCAGGTCCTCCATTGTGATGGCGCATGGATGTGAGTATCTTGCCCTTGTTTCCCTGGGGAGCTGTGAGTGGGGTGGTTTGTGCCATGTTCCGCTACCCTTGCCTGTGGATCTGGCTGGGCAGGAACTTATAAGTGTGACTTTGCCCCGGAAGAACAGCTGCCCTGGATCAGGCCAAGGTCTCTGTCTCTAATAGGCCACTTGGAGCCCATCTCCATGGAGACGCTGGCATTTTCAGAGGCTTTAGCAAGGCAGTGATGTTGTCTAACTCTGAAGCCCTCTTGCGGCCCAACGGGCTGGCCCTCCGTCTGCAAGAGGCTAGTCACTGCCTGAAAGAAAGCAGTCTGTCCACAGGCGTGCATCTGAGCAGTACTGTCCCAACAGTGATGTTGCCGTGATTTCAAACCATTGATTTCATAGCATCAGCGTCGTCTCATCATGGTACTTGGCGTCATCCTCATCATTGTAGCTCACACTTGCTTAACGTTCACGACGTGCCAGGTCCTGCTCCCAGTGCTTTACCTGATCTCGTTTAGCCAATCTTTCCGTTACTCTGTAAAGTAGAAAGCTACTCCCGTGTCCTTGATAAGGAAACCGAGATTCAAAGGAAAGTAAGTGACTTGCTGAAGTGAACAGTGGGGACAGGAATGGTACAGGTTTGATCCTGACACTGCCATTTACTGTTGTGGAGCCATGAAACAGTTACTTAAGCTCTCTTAATTTGGGTTTCTTCACCTGTTGGAAAAGTAGGGTAATACCAGTATCTACCTTGTAACATAGATTTGTTGGGGGGATTAAATAAGATATTTTATTTGGCATGCTTGGGGAATGCTTGTCTCATAATAGCATTCAATAAATAGTAGTAGATGCATATAATTTAATAAATATTTATTGAGTTCCTGTAATATGCCTGGGCACTGTTGGGGTCTTTAAGGTCTAGTAACATATGAGATAGATAGCATTCTTCATGGAGATTCCAGTAAGGCAATAGGATAGGCAAATGATCATGTAGTATAATGCCAGGCATTATACTCAAACGAGTGAGAAAAAATATAGCAGGATAAGGGAGGAAAGTGATATTTTAGGTCAGATGGTCAGTCTTCTCTGAGAAGGTGTCATCTAAGCCCGGTCCTAAAGTTGGAAAGTGAGTTAGTTACTTAAAGGTTTCAGGGAAGAAGGTCTGAGTAAAGAGAATAAACACTTGTAACACTCCTGCATGTGGGATGAATTTGACAGGTTCCTGGAAGAGCAGTGTGGTGGTAGGCGGCATGCAGTGAGGTACAGAGAGTGGTGGGAGATGAGGTCAGAAATCTGGGAGATGAGGTCAGAAATCAGGTGGGTCTCTCAGTCCTGGCACGAATTTGGATTTTATTTTGCGTGTGCCGAGAGTCCATTGTGGGGGGGGGTGGGGATAAAATATTTGCAAATCATACATTTGGTTAGAAACCTTCGATTCGAAAATATAAGGAGCTCTTAGGACTCTAATAAAAATACAAATAACCAAAGAAAAAACTGTGCAGAGGATCTGACTGAATAGACATGTCTCCAAAATAAACAAATAGTCATTGAGCACATGAAAAGATGCTTGACATTAGCCATCGGGGAACTACAAATCAAAATCACAATGAGATACTAAATGCTTTACACCCACCAAGATGTAGCTTAATAAAAATGCAGGCAATGAGAAGTGTTGTTGAGATTGTGGAAAAATCAGAACCCTCATACACTGCTGGTGGGAGTGTAAAATGGTGCAGCCACTTTGGAAAACAGGCAGTTCCTCAAAAGGTAACAGATACTGTGACCCAGCAGTTCCACTCCTGCATATATGAAAACATATATCTACACAAAAACTTTCACATAAGTGTTCATAACAGCATCTTTATAATAGCCAAAAAGGTAGAGATAACTCAGTGTCCACCTACTGATGAATGGATACACAAAATGTAGTTTATCCAATGGAGTAGTTTATACAATGGAGTATTACTCATCTATAAAAAGGAATGAACTGCTGGTACATTCTATAATATTTTAAAGACGAATCCTAAAAACATTATGCTCAGTGGAAGGATCCAGTCACAAAGGCCACGTGTTGTATGGTTCTACTTATATGAAACATCCAGAATGGGCAAATCTCTAGACAGAAAGTAAATTAGTAAGGGGCTGGGAGATTTGGGGGGAAATGGTAAATGCTAATGAGTACAGAGTTTCTTTTTGGGGTGATTAAAATGTTCTAAAATGATTGTGGTGATGGTTGTGCATCTCTGAATACATTAAAAAGTACTGGCTTTGTCCTTGAAAAGTGTGAATGGTGTATCATATGGTATATGAATTATGACTCAGTAAACTACATATACATACACACACACTGTGCACACACACACACCTCTGCAGACAAACATTTATAGAAAATGGGCAAAACAGTCCTTTGGAGGGTGTTGAATGGAGGATGACATGACTTGATTTATGGTTTAAAATATCACCCCAGTTCCTGTGTTGATAATTGACCGCAGGAGTGTTTGTTACCAATTGGTATGCAAGGAAAACCACTCTGACAGTAGATTAAAGCCACAATGCGTTAACGTAGCAGACATTTCTGTAGGTGAGTGTGCTCGGCTGAGAAGCTTTCACTTGGGCTCTCTCACTGGTCGCATGGGGTGGTGTGTGGGCCTGGGTGTCCGCGATGGCGCCCTCCCTCTCGTGTCTGCCTCCGGGTCCTCCTCACGGTGGCCTCTCTCTCCAGCAGAGCCGCCTTCACCTCTCACTCAGGACTGCAGGGGTCAGGAAGCAGAAACTGCCAGCCTTCTTAAAAGCTAGGCTGGAAACACGTAGCTGCCATATTTCATTGCTCTCAGCAGGCCCAGGTCAGCCCCAGATTCAGAGGATGGAAGAGTGGATTCCCTCTCTTAGTGGAGATGGACACAGAGGGAAGGGAGAACTGGTGGCAGCCCTCTGTGGAGACAAGCACCTGAGCTGGTACCGGGGCCGGAAGGGAAGAAGGAAGACCAGTCATCTGCTGCTGCTGTTCGTGATCGCCATCAGTGTTTTCTCATCTTCCTGCCCCTCAAAGTCAGCCTCTGCACGTGGAAGACATATGTCATAGCCCTGGTGTCATGCACTCTGGGCTGGTGTTGCCCTGACCTGTGGCATTAAGCAGAACTTTCTCGGTGAGCTGCCATCCCAATCAGTGTCTCCCTGGCCTAGTTCTAGGGAAGGGCACTTGGCCAGAAGATTTTGCGCAGGATCCCAGAGCTGGTTTCCTTAAAAGCCAAGGAAGGACGCATGTATCCCAGGCTCCAGGCCGTTTCTTGTTGCCTCTGGGCCGCACATGTAACTGAGGATCCTGCTCTGAGAATTCCAGTCGGGAGCTGAAGACACCGAACTCTGAGCCAGCTTTGCGAAGCAGCTTAATTCTGTCCGTCCAGATTAAATTTGCAGCAGCAGGGAGCAAGCTGCCCTCACTGCCAGGGCCAGGGCAAGAGACCGAGTCCCTGCCGGGTGAGCAGATGGGGATGTCGTTCACAGACAGGACCCCACACTCTTATTGAGCACTTTCTGTGTGCCTGGCACCCACCGGGGATATGGCAGTGAGCAATGCAGACGTGCTCCCTGTATTGTTTTTCAGACAGCTTTAGTGAGATGTAATTCACATCCTGGTCACATGTTTAAAGGATCCACTTCTGTAGTTTTTGATATATTAGTGTATTTTTAAGACTGTCATAAAAGATACATAAATGTGCCATTTTAACTTTAAAGTGTATAATTCAGTTGTGTAGATGACATTGCAACCTGTTTTTAGAGTTTAGTATTGATTGGGCTTTGAAAACCAGGAGGTGTCTTAGGACCAATGTCCTTCCAGGATTTATTACGTTAGTGAGGACTTGAAAGTGATTGACATTTTTCAGAAAAGAATATTAGTTCCAAGTACCTGATGCAAAGGGTCAACTCATTGGAAAAGACCCTGATGCAGGGAAAAGACTGAGGGCAGGAGGAGAAGGGGGCAACAGAGGATGAGATTGATTGGATGGCATCATCACCTCAGTGGACATGAGTTTGAGCAAACTCTGGGAGATAGTGGAGGACAGGGAGGCCTGGCGCATCAGACATGACTGAGAGACTGCACAATGATTGGCAAGAACCTGAAGTTTGAGTCAGAAGCTGAGGAGGGGGTGGGGTCTAACTTCACTGTCTAGCAGGGGGATAACCTTGTTCCTCGTCCTTTCTGCCCTTCAAATCTCTTTACCTGCAAAAGGGTGTAGTGCCCATCCTTCCTGTAGCAGAGGTGGAGCCCGGCGCCTTCAGACCTGTTTGGGGGCAGGGGACAGTACTGTGGAGCAGGCATTGTGAATCTTAGATCCCTGACCGAGGTTCAAGCCCGTGCCCCTTACATTAGAAGTAAGTCTTAACCACTGGAGTCTTAACTCTCAGACCTACTTCTCCTTTATCTCTGAGTTGAATCCAAATTGTGCAGAAGAGACCAGGGTGGATGTTTTAAGAAGGGCTTCCCTTCCCACCTGGCTGTGAGCGAGGGGCAAGCTCCCTTGCCATGAGAAGCATTTGGCCCTTCCTGGCGTTGGGCAGGCTGTCCTTGGCTGGGGAGAGACGTGGTGGTGGCTGTATCGTCAGCGTCAGGTTGGCAACGAGGCAGTTCTTCTGACGGGCAAAGCTGGGTTATCACCTATAGAACCTGCAGAACCCAGATGGGTCCTCAGACTTCCTGAATAATCAATGAAAAAATACAACGTGACATCTGGATGCCATCTCTATTCTAAGAAAGGGGGCCTCTGAGGAAGAGAGAGACCTAGTTATCAGGAATGCTGAAAGTGATGCTAAAGCTGTTGGACTGGGGAAGGCGGGGGGTGCGGGGTACCAGATATCCTTTAAGAGAGTGGCCAGGAGAGCAGGGAGGAAGCTCTGAGAAGGAAGAGACCCTGGGAGAGTAAAGTCATGGTATCGTCATCTTATGTTTCTGATACCTACGTTT